AGCGATTTATGTCAAGTTACATAAAACTTTGAATTTTAAATTGTCCTGTTTGGCATTCAGTTTTACAAAAGCAAGGTGAAATTTCTGATCGTCACCCACTAAATATTTCTGGTTTGTGGTTTTGTTTTTGTTTTGTTTTTTTCCTTTCAGGGGGTTATTTATTTCCATCTCAGACAGAGGCCACATCAGGTCAATTGTGAACAACTGGCCAGAGAACGACGTTAAGGTACTGTCACGGTGTGATCTAGTTTATCGTTGTTATTCCATCAGCTGAGTCCTTTAAGATTTATTAGTATTTGATGGAAACATAAATATTATGTAGTGCATTCTTGGCTCTTTAGTGACGAAGGCAGAGTGCAGATAATTAAGGTAATGCATACCTTGAAGATCAGTGTTTCATCCTAAATGTGAGGTTTATGGGTTGAGGAAAATACTCCTCATGATCTGTTCTTCTTTTGGCTGTGCAAACATACCTCAATTTTTTCCAGAGAAGAAAACACAACTTCCATTGATGTAATCCTTATAAATTTCAGTGATCATGTATGATTTTGACCTGCTTTTTTTTTTCTGCCTTTTTTTTTCTTCTTTATTTTTTTTGCCCATCAGGCTGTTGTTGTCACTGACGGAGAAAGAATACTGGGTCTTGGAGACCTGGGGGTGTACGGGATGGGAATTCCGGTGGGAAAGCTGTGTTTGTACACAGCCTGCGCAGGGATACACCCGGACAAATGCCTGCCTGTGTGCATCGACGTGGGGACCGATAACACAGTGAGTTACCCCTATAAAACGGGGTTGTTTTAAGTAACAGAGCTGGGGTGGTTTTTGAGCACTTTCGTTTAAGATAACCTAAATATTTTGTGCAAAGGGCAAGTGGATTGGAGTTGGCTGTGCAGCGATTTAAAAGCGCCTGTTGATTTGTGCGTGAAAGGCTGTGTATGGAAGTAGCTGGAATGCTGGTCAGCCAGTTTTGACCTGGCTTTTCCGAAGCTGGCAGTGGGAATTGGGTTTGTTGAAGCTGTTTACTGCTCAGAGCATCGGTTTGTGCTGTCCCCAAAGCAGCCACCAGCAGCCAGCTGAACTTGGAGAGCAGCGATGCAGGCTGGGGCAGCGCGCAAGGAGCTCGGCTGGGTGCTCACCGCTGCTCTGCCTGGTTTTCCCCCTGCAGACGCTCCTGAAGGATCCCTTCTACATGGGGCTGTACCAGAAGAGGGACCGCTCGCAGGTCTACGACGACCTGATCGATGAGTTCATGGAGGCCATCACGGACAGGTAGGACGCAGGGCAGCGCCAGCAGCTGCTTCCCACCCGAGGAGAGCACCACCAGTGGGGCAGGCTGTCCCTGGAGTGACACCACAGGGACTAGAGCACGCTGCCGGGCGTGATCTGGGGCCAGAGC